AATAATTTATGCAAACTTTATTTTAAGCTGGAGTATCGTAGCCGCAGCACGCTCGCCCTGGCCTCCTTTCCGCCTTTACCAGAATCCAGACTTTTCATCTAATTCCGTTCGAAGTCAAAACAATAGATCGTTATACAGAAACCCAGATTATCTTGCCAAACCACACAAGTAATTTTAATGCGTTGTTAGAATGTTCGCATTTAAAAATTGGTTTGCTTAAAAATATTGTTGTTGTAAGGACAACAGATTACTATTTTAGTTATCAATTAATGATCTTAAAAATAAACTGAATATTGTGAGGGAATTTTTGTTTCCGGCAACATGAGCGTTGAGTTATTTGTATAGCGAACTTGAACGCTAACGTAATTTTATGAAATAGGGCACTGGCAAATTTTAGTAAAATTAGCGATCGATAGTTTATCTATGAAGATATTTCAATTTTGTTTTCATTAAACGACTTATTGATGAAGGAATAAAATACATTCAACGCTCAGTTTACCGATCCTAAGTTTTCATGTTAATTTCAGTGCTAAAAATCATAGTCATTAGCGACATAATAACAGCATGACACATTATACATTTTATTATATGGGTGAATAGGTAACGGAGAGACGTCTCTCGTTAACTTTCCTTGAACCTGTGCCCACGTCATCAATCTTCTTTTTTTGCGAAAATCAAAATGTACGCTTTCACAGCAACCCACAAACACGCCCATAAATTAATGTTATTATTCTTTTTCGTTGACACGACAAAGAAACTTTCTGGCATTTTCCTTCCGATCTAAACTTTCTACTTTTGTACTCCTTTTAGTGTTGTTTTTATTTATTTATAAGTTATTAGGGAAGTTAGTGAAAAATGTCAGTGTTGTTTGTGAATGTACAATAAATACGGGAAACTTTTATTTTTATTCATAGAGTTAGAATTAGAACTAAAAGCGTAATTGAATTCACTGCTCTGTGAAGGAGTATGTTTCTGATATAAAACGAACAACGCTAATTTAGTATTGGTAATAAAACAGGCGGTACCATCGCATCATGACACTATTCTATATATACTATTTTTTTTTTTCTTTTTCTTGTTCCTGCCCTCCCAAGAAATTTTCACTAAAGCAATGATACGGTTCATTTTACAGGAATAATAGTAATTATTCACTTTGATTCATTTAAAACTATGAGTTAATTTTATGTCAAGAATTTGTACCAAATAAAAATAAACAAAAAATCGGGAACAAATTTGTTGGATTTGAATTTATTTCAAAATGTGATATATATAGTTTAGTCCAAATATACGTAGGTGGGCTATTATGTAATTGGTAAAATCGTTAAAAGCATTTTTGCCAACCATTTAATCGAATACATCAGCTGCTCGCGACAACAATGTGTTAGAGAGCTCTTAGATTTTACACCTGGCCGCGTTTATAATATTCGTCTCATTTTCGAACGGTCATTCATTGTCAGGCCTTTGAATATGACGTGACTTGCCTGGAATTTTCTCTAATCTTTCTTTTTAAGACACGAGCTGACTGATTTTTCTTTGGTCTTTCTTTTACGCTCTTCTTAAGGCGCTGACTGCGCATGAAGTTAAAATATGCAGTATTTTTATCACATAAATATTCCGCGCGTAGTTATGTCTACATTAATTATACAGTGTATCGCGTGGATGGAAATGTGAAATGAAAGGTGACATAAAGGTATCCTTCTCGGGATTGTCGACATGTCGTATTTCGTTAAAATCGGTTCAGTATTTGAAACGAAAAAAATATTTAAGCTATCGTGGTAAGAGTATTAAATTTACTATAGAAAATTTTAAAAGTGAATTCCAAAAATATTTAAATGACAATAACTGTTTTGCCGCTGGAATCATGGTCCAGGCCGCTGGCCGATCCTTCGGCTGGTAGTAGGACCGTCGAGGCGATTCGCCCGATTCTTGTGGATTGGGTGAATCGTGACAGAGGACGCCTCACTTTCCGGCTCACGCAGGTGCTCACTGGGCATGGTTGCTTCGGTGAGTTCCTGCACCGGATCGGAGCCGAGCCGACGGCAGAGTGTTACCATTGTGGTTGCGACTTGGACACGGCGGAGCACACGCTCGTTGCCTGCCCCGCATGGGAGGGGTGGCGCCGTGTCCTCGTCGCAAAAATAGGAAACGACTTGTCGTTGCCGAGTGTTGTGGCATCGATGCTCGGCAACGACGAGTCGTGGAAGGCGATGCTCGACTTCTGCGAGTGCACCATCTCGCAGAAGGAGGCGGCGGGGCGCGTGAGAGACGCACAAGCCCGCCGCCGTCGAGCGGGGGCCAGGGAGGCGGATCTCTCCCTACCCTGGCCCTCTAATGAAGTTTTCGGGGTCCCCCTCATATGTCGGTTTGGGGCCCGGCGAAGGGGGCCTAAGAAGACGACGTGCAAGCTGCTCTGCACGCGTTTTACGCAAGAGCATCCGGGTGATGGAAGGCCGGCTATCCTCGACCCACGCTGGTTCTGACCCAGCGGGGTATTTCGTAGGATAACCTATTCAAACCGGCGCCATCTAGGCGGGCTTCGGACAGCCTGCCGACCGAGAGGGCTGGTGGTCGTGTGCGGCGCCGTACGGAGTCGCTGGCCGCGGGGTCCGAGGCGCGCTCGCATGGGAACAGACTGTGCTCCGCACTAAACGCTTCACTCTCCTCTCCTTGCCTTTTCATGAGTTCTGTCTCATGCGAGGGTTGGACGTTGGTTGTTGAGCGAGCGGAGGTTTTAGTCGGTTCGACTCCGACATGCCCCACCCTCCATCCCCAGTGGAGGGTGGGAGTCCGGCGATTTCCTCCTGTCACAAAAAAAAAAAAAAAAAAAAAAAAAAAAAAAAAAAAAAAAAAAAAAAAAAAAAAAAAAAAAAAAAAAAAAAAAAAAG